CACACACACACACACACACACACACACACACACACACACACACACACACACACACACACACGCACACACACACACACACATAGACAGCCCATAACGCAGTATGCGCTCGCGCCGTGGTAGGCTCTCCCTATTACTACCGTCCCATCGATGAGCATTAGTAATGTCAACACGCTACAGCATTGCGAGGACGTAACGTGAGGCGTACTTGGTGCTATAGCCGGGAGGAGGTGGTGTGATATTCATAGCCATGTCCCTGCCAAGTGCGCATCACCGCAACCCGCCAGAGTCCAGTAGTCGTAGCTATAGCTGTAGTGTTGCACGCGCGTTCAACCGCTGCTCACTTGATATTATTACTATCAATTACATATTTATCTGCATATTAATATTAAAGAGGTGCGCGCAATTTTTGAGACGTTTCTAGATATCCAGATGTTGTTTGTCGGCGTTGATAGATATATATATACATATTAAGATATAAGGATTAAGATATATATACACATATAATATATATAGACGTATATATACATATATATATATAGACGTATACATATATACACTACATATATATACATAGTGACGTACATACATGCCTAATACCATCGCTTGCGTAACACATTAATTCTGAATCTGCGACTCCCCACACCTTTAGAAGCGCGTGCGCGTGTGTGCGTGCGTGCGTGCGCGTGCGTGTGCATGCCTGCGTCTGTGTCCATGCGCGTGCGGGTGTGTAGGTAAGTGTATCTTCGATATTAAGAGCTCTCGATTTGTTTGCGAATGTTGATAGGAAACGAAAACCGCAAGGTTGAAAATGTTAAAGGCGCTGTTTGCTTTTCGCAGCTTCTCTGAGATGAAATATCGCATGCTAGGAGATTACGTCTGTCCCCGTTTCCTGCGAGCAGCTAGCCACATCGATGCGCCATGCCCTATATGTATTCTACGTCACCATCTTATAGCGGCCAGACTAAAACCGTGTACACACACACGACAGCCATATTTACATAATAATTTACTGCGCGATTTTTCCAGCGGAGACGCGAGTGTTTGTCGATAATTTGAATTGCAAATTTCGAGGTTTCGAAATCAGACTCGCCGAGTGAAGCTTTATATATATAAGCTCGCTGTTACGTCACGCTGCCCGCGCGCTAGGGGGGGGCGTGTATTCTTTCACGCACGGGAGGGGGGAATCCCGCGCACGAGATCACGCTCTCTGTAACGCGGAAGGTTCGGGGGAGCGTGCATGCGTGAGTCAGCCTCGATTTGAATCGAAACGCGAAAGTTGGCGTGAGATGCTGCGTGACGTCACGTAAAGCTGCGTGACGTCACGTGAAGTTGGGGCACGTCACGCGAAGATGCGCAACGTCACTTGAAGATGCGCGACGTCACGCCGAGCTGCGTGTAGTAACGTGACGTTACGTGAAACTGTGTGACGTCACGTGAGACCACGTGAAGCGGCGGCATATTCACGCGATGGCTCTCAACACACGTAACTCACCCCCCCTCTCTCTCTCTCTTTCTCACGCCAGGTCACGCGCCCGACCCTCTCCACAACAACAACAACAACAACCACTCGCACACTAACTCGAACGGGCACGGCGGCGGGCGACGCGGCGGTCACGGCAAGCCGGAGAAGACGACGCGCGTGCGCACGGTGCTCAACGAAAAGCAGCTTCACACGCTGCGCACCTGCTACAACGCCAACCCGCGCCCGGACGCGCTCATGAAGGAGCAACTCACCGAGATGACGCAACTCAGTCCGCGCGTCATCCGCGTCTGGTTCCAGAACAAGCGCTGCAAGGATAAAAAGCGCCAAATACTCATGAAGTCGCTGCAGGATCAGAAAGGACAGGTGAGTGATTGGGGAGAGGGGGAGGAGGGAGGTAGAGGAGGAGGGGGAGAAGGGAGGTGAAGGAGGAGGGGGAGGGGGGAGGGGGAGGAAGAAGGGGAGGGGGAGGTGGGCAGAGCAAGACGAGATAGACGTGTTTGTTGTTAGTAGTTATTGTTGTTTGTTGTTGTTGTTGTTGTTGTTGTTGTGTGTTGTTGGTTTTTGTTGTTGTTATTGTAGTTATTGTTGTTTGTTGTTGTTGTGTGTTGTTGTTGTTTTGTGTTGTTGTTGTTTTGTGTTGTTGTTGTTTTGTGTTGTTGTTGTTTTGTGTTGTTGTTGTTTTGTGTTGTTGTTGTTTTGTGTTGTTGTTGTTGTCACTGTAATTATTGTTGTATAGTTATTGTCTTTGCTGGCACTATTTATATTATTACTCTTACTATTATTATATTATTGAATTATCATTCATCCATCATCATCATCATCATCATCATCATCATCCTCATCATTATTCTTGTTGCTGTGGTGTTTGCCAGCAATTTATGCGCGTGAGCGTGATTGTACCTGCTAGTAGTAGTAGCAGCAGCAGCAGCAGCAGTAGTAGTAGCAGTAGCAGGAGGAGGAGGAGGAGGAGGGGAAGAAGAAGGCGTGGCTGTAAAATGACGTTATACTGCCTTGAGCTGCTTAGCGCACATTCCGCCTATCTAGTGTAGGTCTGCCCTACGCATATAGCACACATATAAATAAATAAATAATATATATATATATAAATATATATATATAAGCAAAAAACAAGCGAGTGTATAGGCACGCCGCTGCCCCCGAGCGCGCAAACTCTGACCAGTAGCCGATGCCCGCATCTATAGCGGTAGAGAGACGGAGGGAGACGGGAGGAGAGGAGAAGGATGAGGATGAGGAGACGAGAAGGGAAACGAGAAGAGAGGAGAAGGATGAGGAGAGAGAAGGAGGAATAAGGAGGAGGAACGGAGAGAGGAGAGGGGGAAAGGAGGAGGAGGAGGAGGAGGAGGAGACGGATGAGAGAGGGCAGGTGACAAGGAGGAGAAGGTGGCAGCGGAATTATTAACGCGCGTTCGGTAAATCAGATGCGAATTTAATTACAATATTTCTCATCGAGAAAGGCGAGAAAAACACCGTGAGAGCATTTTAGATTAAAAAAAAGATGTATATTTTATTGGTTTATTTAAAAAAACGTTAAATTTACACAAATTCTCTCCGCATCATGCACGCAAAATTTAAAAAGGATAAAATCAAATAACAGATAAAATAAATAATTAAATCTAAATATTATAAACATATTCCACTAAATAATTATATTAAATAAAATTATATATTATATAATAAATAAATAATAAATAAATATATATATATATAAATATATATATAATATATAGTATATATATCAAAGGCGGGGAGAGGCACGCTATAGCAAGCTTATATGAAGTTAGAGAATAGTAGTGCGCGTGCAGTGAGATGTGAATCGCTTGCTGCATGCAAAGGCGCGGTCATGCAAACGCTCTTGAATTCACAGCCAGAGTTCGTGACTGCCTGCACGCATTGTCCGCCGTTGCCGCGCGCGCGTGGCAACGTAGATTAATCATGACGCGGACATGGCAGAGCGCGTCGCGAAGGAGAGGGGGGAGGGGTAGGAGGGGAAGGGGGGGGAGGAGGGAGAGGGGAGGGGAGGAGGGGGAAGGGGGGAGGGAGCAGACACAAATCTCCGGCCTGTGAGTGCTGTTTATCAAATGTGGCGCTTCCTGTAAACGTGCCGCGTTGGCGCTGAACAAACATCAGCCGTTTAGCGTCGAGAGTAAAGGCAGAGCTGTGCGCGCGCGTGCGTGTTTCCGTGTGCGTGCGTAAAACGCGCGTGCGGTGTTCAAAGAGTGTGCGGTGCATGCGCGTGGCGCGCGCGGTTGTTGGGTGCCGTGGTGGCGTAGCATGCGCGTGCGTCCGTCCTTTCTGTTGTGACGCAGCGCGTGCGTGTTTCCCCGTGCTGCGGTACATGCGGCGATGCGTGTTTCTGTGGGGCTGTGCATTGCGCGGTGGCGAAACGTGTTCCGTGCTGCGTGCGCGCAAATGCGCTGTTTCCGTGTGGCGTGCATGGCTGCGTCCGCGTAAGTTGTCCGTGTGCCGTGCGCGCAAGTGCGTAATTCCGTGGTGGCGTGCCGCGCGGTGGCGTCGGATTCTGTGATGGCGTGCCGTGGCGTGTTGTCACACGTGTGCGTGCCTTGCGTAATGCGGCGGTATTTCAACCGTGTGCGATGCGTTGCGCATGTGTTTTCTGTGTGAGGTGCGTGCGCGAGTGTATTCTGTGTGGTGTGCGTGCGCGTGCGCGTTCTGTGTGCGCGCGTTGCTTCGTGAATTCGAATGTAAAATACCTACACACACACGTGCGTTGGTGGCTGGTTCCCGCTATTCGCCGCCCCGTGATCGTTTTCCCTCTCCTCCTTCCACCTCTCCCTCCTTATCGCTCCACGCGTCCTCGCCCTTCCTGACTTCTGTCTCTTCACTCCCTCTGCCTTCCCGGTCATCAACCTCCTTCTTTACTTCCTCTCCCTCCTCCTTCGATAATGTTGACACTATGGGTATTATAACACGTTATAGATTGGTGAGGCAAAGAATGCGAAATTAATGCCTATAGCTAAAAGGTAGCCGGACGGGTCGATGGTGACAAGAGAAAAAGGGGGGACGGAAAGAGAGGTCGAGAGAAAGAGAGAGAGAAAGAGAGAGAGAGAGAGAGAGAGAGAGAGAGAGAGAGAGAGAGAAGAGAGATAGAGAGAGAAGAAGGGAAGCAGCGGAGGAGAAGAGAGAGAGAGAGAGACAGAGAGAGAGAGAGAAAGATGAGAGAGAGGAAGAGAAGGAGAGAGAGAGGGGGGGGAGAAAGAGAGAGAGAGGAGAGAGAGAGAGAGAGAGGGGGAGGGAGAGAGAGGAAGAGAGAGATAAAGACAACGAGAGCTGTATCTGTTTTTCCGCCGACAAATAATTACGTAATGGCGATTTTAGCACCCACGCAGGCACCGCGCACGCATGCACACACGCACGCACGCAAGCACTCACGCACACCCCCACGCACCCACGCACGTACGCACGCACACAGGCACGCACGCGCGCACGCACGCACGGCGGTGACGTGGCGTTTACCGGCATCAGCAGCGCCTAAACC